AAGGTGTAAAGCATGTCAGGAGCCGCACAATTTGAAAAAGAATCGCTACAGAAGTGAGCAGATTTTTCTTCTCTCTTACAGCCACGCAGTTGATTACTCTCAGCCTAATTAGGGCTATGCAGTGGGAGTGTTGCTGTTTCATTGCAGTTTTGAGAAGATGTGAATCGCCTGCATCACCTGTCCCCTCATTGATCAACTGTTTGCTCGAGCGAGCGAAGCTAAAGGCGTTCGCACCTCTCGTCGGCCTCGTCGCTGTACTCCAACACATTCCTCATTCGAGGGATATAGAGCGTGCCATTTCTTTCGTTAGGAGTTTTCGCGAAGAGGTTTGATCATATTTCTGACGGACGCCTCAGAGTTTGTTGGGCCCGAAACATTTAACAACTTCGCCCTGGCTCAACATTTATCATAAAGGTACACGACCTATGCGTCACACCCTGACTTCGATTTCTTGACCTGTACGAGATCGTCCCTGATCTTCGTTCGTTGATGAAGCGCGGAACTCTAAACTCCTCTCTACACTTGCATATACTTGATACCTTCAAGCATTCTTCTTTCCACAGCACGTTGAATGACGACGACTGCATTTCTGGCTTGCCTAGACGGATCTAATTAATTGGTTTCTCAAGTGCCGTTTTACATGACACTGCCGACAATCGAGCACTAGAATTCAGGAAAGTGAAGCTCATTCATAGTACTGTTCCGGTGAACAGGAAACCATGAGTAGCTTGCCAGACGTGTGGGCTTGTTGGACGAAAGATAGCTAGCCAAGCATCCCAAAATGGATGGGAGACTTAGTTACTTTGAGGCGACTCAAGCACTTCCTAGTCACTCAAATGTGAGTTTTCGGCTGGAAGGATTTGCAGGAGGTATCCTTCGCAGCAGCAGACCTTCTCCACACGTATGAATAGATACAATAAATACATCTGCGAGGAGACAGTTGATGTCAATCGGCTCAACATAGCAGGAACAGCAAGTCAATTGCCGTATCCACCTATGTTTCTAGGCAGGTATCGGTGACTTCTGCTCAGCAGTTTGCTATGAACAGCATTGGTAGGAGTCACGTACCTTGCACCAAGGAATGGAAGGAATTTGTTGGGTAATCTGGATGCATTTGACTTTTTGTGCTTAATGCCGAAGCTCATGTAGAAGCCCATGGAGTCATCGACAAGTCTAGCAAGACAGTACATATGTATTTGCCCCGGTTTTGATTTGAAGTAATGCTGTGAGTTTCTGGATATAAGATGCCCATGTTGTACACAACAAATGGCTCTCTGAACCGTTTCTGTTCTACTGAATCGAATTCAGCAATAGTATGAGAACATGTTGATAGGAAACACGACTAGACACCGCTACATAGGACGGAGCTTGTAGGGAAATCGAGAGGCATTTCAAAAACCTCCCTGTTTCCTCAGAGCTATAGGGTTCAAATTCGGAGCGATTGGTGGTGGTAGGATGTGAACATCGATGGTAGGTAGTAGGATTGGAGCCCACCCATAAGGAACGTGGCTGCGCAAAAATCATAGCTTTAGACCTGGTGCGCTCAAATTTGATAGGAGTACAGGCGGCAGTATGGAAATGCCGATGGTGGTTGGTAGGACTGGGCCTGCCCACAGGGCGGGGCGCGTGTGCAATTATTAATTTGGGCCTGAGGTGATCAAATTTGCTTAGGATGCAGGCGGCAGTACTAGAATGATTATGCTAGGTGCCGGAAAGGGTATGACAGGATCACACCCGCAGAGCGAGAAGGGATGGAGATGGAGCGGCGAAGTGTGTCTAATGAACGTGATCTGAGGAAGATTTTGGAATAAATGGGAATGAATCAAGTTATTTGAACACAGAAGACTTGAGCAAGAGTTCGCTCATGACAGGCGGGGTGCGCACAAGGTGTGTACAGTTTGTACGTGTTTGGAAAAATACCAACGTCGATCAGTAGCCGAAGCGTCCTCGAGCTATAATCTGTACAGGAGACAGTTGTATAATAACTGTGTGCTCGTTTTGTAGATGCGATGCATAGTGAATAACTCACATGATTTCACCATGTATCAATATGAATTGCGGTTTATGCAACCTTATACGTTTTTCTCCATATTTATGGCGCGCCCTGTATGTATAAATGTACATATATAAATATATATGAGTAAACTGGAAAAATATATGAGTAAATTAAAGGATGTGTGTGTCTCGTCGGATGTCAATAACTCTCGTTCACTGGGACCATAATGTTCATCAAGCTCTGAATCTTTTTCTTCTTCCCGACGACAATGTCTCCACAAAAAGACTTAGTGTCTTAACGGAGACCTTCAACGACATAACAGTGATAGCTAATAGCAGAGAAGATCCTCAGGGCCAGCGGCAAAATGCCAGGCCTCGCTCATAGGGAATAAGCTTCTACTCAACTTGAATAGGTCCGTGTTTCTATACTCCGTTGACTGCGTAGGGTCGATGGCAGACTGCCTGGGAAAGATATCAAAGGAGCGCCGGAATTCGAAGTAATCTGGCGTTGGTAGAGAGGACCAGCCTGTAAAGGCCTGCAGCATGGGTGATACGGAGACACCATTGGTATCCTATGCGATTAACGATGTTTCAGGAAGCTTAAAGAAAATGCTTACTCGACAGCAGTGAGGTCAGTTTTGGGAAAGCATGTGCTCGGCCGTAAAAAAAGCATGAAAAGCAAATCCACCAAGCTGAAAAGAGGATGTTGAGTCGAGTTGCTCCCGGAGACGGACTTGCAATTAGCTCCTGTCCCCTGTCCAGTGGAAGAGTCGTGGGTGTCGCTTACAATGGTATGAGTACTATGCTGCGAAGGGGCACAAGGTCATCCGACAGGTAGCGGAGCCTCGTGTTCAAGAAAAACGGCAGAGAGGAATCCCGAAAGTGTGTTTACGATAAGCAAGCAAGTACGGCCTCGGCAAAAACAAATTGGCTGTAGAATATGCTGTTTGTCGCTCCGTCAGGATCGTCCCACCGGGCCATTCCATATTGGTGGTTCTTCGGTAGGGCGACCCCAGCGGCGTGAGCTAGGTGACCCGAGTCTTCTGCCCACTCGCTATACTCGTATCCAACTACCACACAGACTTGGTAGGCCTGGGCTGCTCCAGCTCCCCTTGCGTCCTTCTATGGGCTGGTACTGCCTTTGCAGTAAGTTGAGGGTTGCTCGCTCAGCGCAGAGTTCCCTCAAGGCGCTAAGCGCGAGGTCCTACCAGAGCCTGCATACCGGCTCATCCCAGGCCTAAGGATGGTTGCAATATATGGAGGTTACCATACTTCATGTACGAAGAGCACACATTGTGGAATGCGCTGTTTTATGAAAAACTACATATGAAAAAAAGTGAGATTAAGGACTCATTTCACGATATTTTTGGGGTGCCCTTTTTAAGTTGAAAAGCGGAAGTGTTGATGTAGAGGAGTACATCGGTGGCAAAGAAAGTGAGGGATGCCGCCTGGATTCATTGCTTTTCAAAAGTAGTGAAAGTAGAGGCTGTACAAGGTTACCTATATGGTAATGGCAGGTCAGGGTTGTCTGGACGAGATGCCACTTGCTCAAATAGATGACTACGTGAAGCCAAAATTGTCCGAAACTGCCTTTCACTGTCACTATGGGTTATGACAAGTTGTTTGAACTTCTTACATGGGAGCCTCTTGAGATAGTGCAGCCCCCACTCGTCTACGATGGGTGTGGCATTCACGAATACAATCTGTGTGCCCCTTATTGTGCTCTATACAAAAAATTTTCGAGCTTATGACGGTAGGTATGGTATGAGGGGGAGCCTCGAATTCGCACTATGGAAGAGTCTCAGGAACCATTTTTACCGTGAGCTGTGCCTTTTAATGCGAGTAAATATGGATATTACGGTACGACTAATGCTATGGAGATAAACATGGAAAACACATATAAACATAAAAACCACACCCAAGCTACGGACAGGGTACGATCCTGCTGAGTCCTCATCCAAGGCCGTCCAAGTCATCCCAACCTTCTTCTTGTGACACTGCTGCTCTGAGGTCCTTCCATTGCTGTGGACCATTCCTCTTGCTGTTCCTTGCTTGCGGCATACTTAGCAGCAAAGGCACCACTGTAGACAGTACTGTGCTGCGGGAACTACTGGAGCTGCGTCGTTGGCGTTGACTTCGATTGGCACCAGAAGACGGGGAAGGGCACGCGGCTTCGGCAACGACCACAATGGATAAAGCAACCATTGCATGGCGGAGAGAGCGGCTAGAGTCTGTGGGTAAGCATTGCCACGTGGCGAACTCTAGCTCTCTGCAGCATACTGTGCCTTCCCGACGAGATCGGGTTTGCGCAAAGCCAGGCTTACTATATGTCGTCCAAACGGCACGACACTGTTGATGGGAGGAAGTGGCGTCGACTAACAAGAACAGTGGACCTTGGCCTGGGACAGCGTGGAATGAACAACAGTACAGAGTAGGAGTTGTTTCGATCAAGCGCTCGCAAATATCATAAGGGAATGTGTCAAAAAGGCACACGCTCTAAGTGTAACAGACGGTGCGTCTCAGAGATTTATGGCAGCTTTTGAATACTTATGAGGAACTCCGGGAAAAAAGTTGTTATCATTCAAACAGCTCTACTCGTTACACCGCGACGATGAAGCTAGAAAACAACAAAAACAGTATCCGGTGATCATAATTTACACATACACGTGCCATTCTTGAAACTCAAAACTTGTTTCCTCGTGGATATTCATTGCTCAGGCTCCGATTAGTTTTTTCATGGTGTGTATGTGGTTTGTTTCATTGTTTGCAGCATATTCGTCTTTCTTATAAGCATGAGAACATTTGAAACTTCTTGAAATCATTCAGATTGTGTTTCAAATCAAAATCCTGCGTAAAACCGAATTACCAATCAGTTGCTGCTACAGTTGCTACAAAGTAGCGTAGTTAGGATTGAAATAACGATCTAGTTACGCTATTTCATCAATGATGAGCGCTGATCTCTGAATGCAGTAAAACAGATAGTCTGATCAATCGCCTTTTCAGATGTTCCGTGTATCGACTCATCAAGAGTTCTCCTCACCCTCCAATCTGGAGTTGGTTGTGACTACATTCATGCAAATCGGATCGATTATCCAACTCTCGGAAGCAAATACATAATAACTCAAGTCAGTCCGTTTTAACTGCTGATTATTGCAACGAATTGCGAATTCTCGAAAAATATGACTAGTCGTACTCCCGTCACTAGCTTCTAAAACTGTTTAAGGGACCGTTGGCGAGTACGGTTTCATCGTTTTGGCAAATGGTTTGGCAAGAAGATATTTACTGTATAGTGATGTTATGTAAGGCAGTCGAAAAAGGCAAGCGCAAAAGTGCAGAATACTTCAGCCCGTATGTAATTTGCTGAAGCATTGTCAACAGAATTAATAACATGCGTGAACTATGTCTATTCTAGCGTTTCCGACATGACAATAAGCCACGGTCAATTGGGTGTGAAGTTGAAGGAAAGAGAATGGGAGGGCCCTATAATAGTTTCAACACTTGAACTCGAGTATTCTCAAGAATCGCGTCAGATCAAACACTACCAATGGAGACATTGGAGCGACTGGACGGTAGGAATCGCATATTCCAAATTTTTGTTTTTCTTGAGGCTCATCAGGAAGGTATTCATCCGATAGGCCTGATTAGAAGTGGATTCTACTCAGCTACCCCGGTCACAGATATGTAGCCCAAAGAAGCACTATGGACTGGCACCTTGAACACAAGCGAAGCTGTGTTTCTGATCTAACATTGACGATACAATACCCTGTGGAAGTCTATACAACGTATTACGATACGGCCTCACAATAACAAGGGTCCCACCACGGGGGATCCAACGCATGTACTGGCTTACATGATGCACAAGGATATGACGAGGTCGAGCACATGGCTAACACGTGCATTTCATATTGAATGGGTTGTTTTCTCAACTTAAAAGAACTCCACTTAGTATTCTAATTTCATCTTGTTTCCATTGTCAGAAAAGTGGGATTGCAATGTAGGACAACTGACTGGCTGATCCTTAGACCTTCAAGAACATGGATGAGAACATAAATAAAGGATGATCTTTTTGGATCAATCAATCCCCTCTGAGAGATGTGCCCCCGCACTCGACTTCCATTCAAGATCGTAGTGCCGTAATGAGTGCGTATGTGGCCTATACAATGACTTGCGGTGGCTAGCCGATTACAAGTTAGTGCTTTTATCCTCCCAGACGAGTATGGTACCAATTCACCGACCCCGGAGGGATGGAAGGCTCAATAGGAATAGGCGGATATCAATGCGAGATTCGAACCGCTAGCCGTGCGTGTGAGATAGTGCGTCACTTGCCACTACACCACCTCCGCCCAGATGAGAACATCTAAACACAAATGCAATATGCAAAATGCCCTATGTGGGAGCCGCGCTTAAAAGAGATGCAGTTTGAGGCTGTTTCTTGGGGAACCCTGGATTGATCGAAAGATAAAAAAACTGTAGTAAGATGAGAAGCCTTCCGCTTCTGCTGACTTGGCCTCGACTGTTAGAGCTAACGAAGCCCATGCGAGTTGCTTGATTCATCTCCAACATTCGGTTAAATGACTGTTTTTTTTACAACGTCAGGGATTCAGGCCCCTACGGAGTCGACGTTGCTGGCTCTCCTCAAGAAAGTGCGCGGTCATTCAGCAGTCGGTATGTGTTGTAGCCATCGCCGGATGATATTAGTTATTGAGTTTTTCACTTTACAAGTGAATAATGGAATTTTTCAGTGGTTCACTGTTCAGCTGGAGTCGGTAGAAGTGGAACATTCATGGCGTTAGAGATGTGCTTACAAGATCTTGCCAATGGCTTACCTATCAACGTTAACCAGGTATGCCCTCTTCTCACATTCGATACAAGAGGATTTATTGGGTTACCATAACGCAGACGGTTGTGTCTCTTCGACACTGTCGCGCACTTGCTGTTCAAACGTTCGACCAATATTTGTCAATTCATCGAGCAATACTACGTGTAGGCGAGAAACATGGAGTCATTAGAAAAGTGAGTTCTCTTTCAAAATGAAAATACAGCCACTAAGATGGAAGTTTATTGCCAAGGTGGGTATTTCTCCTCGCCTTGCCTTTTTCTGAAGGTGATGCTGGTGGTTCTGCGGCAGCTAGGTACCCTTCCACTGGGAGTTCAAACTTTTCATAGCGCGCGACTGTACCACGTGTTAGTCACTACGCAGTACCAACTTATCAGTACGCATATCTGTTAGTTTATAAGCCTGATAAGCAATATAAACCTAATCAGTAGCACCTAGGGGTTAGTTCCATCACACAGATTAGCGCTGGTGAATCAAAGATAACTTGTATGTATTTGGGAAGCGATTTAGTTTGCGGCAATCGGAAAATTTTGAGAAAAGGCTAAAAGAGTATTCATCGATTTCCTCATTCTCCCGTCAAACGACGGATCGTCATCACCATCACTGATCCTCTTCGATGTGCAGACTTTGAACTTTGCATGATTGTAAGGAAGGGCATGATGGGCCACGGCAACGAAATGGATCAGCAGCGCGGCGTTCTAATATTTGAGTGCCACCCGAATGTATTGCCTTGAGAAGAGCTCGCTTACGATAACTATCTTGTTTGCCAGGTTCTTGTTCGCTGTGTGTTTTTCGTTCCAAGCGACGACGGCGAGTTTAGAGCCATCAAAGGCACAGTTCAAGATAAAAACGGTACACACGACTTCCTCCCATGATTACCCAGTCGACAACAACACTAAGGACGTTGTCGGAATGAGAAACTCAATAGATAGGGTTTAATATGAGCCCATTATCAGATTCGTCGAGTCCACGCTTTCTCTAACGATTATGTGTCAGATGAGTGTCGGGGCGATACAGTTTGGGCTATTCGTACCAGAACTCACGCCTTTAGCTTGCGTCAGCTGGTCAGGGAGTGGTGAGGGAACGTTCCACCTTTATCTCTTGTTCTCTGTTATCCTTTTTGCTGCTGCGTTCATTTTTGTAAATTTCTAACTCACGAGAATGAAGGTGAGTTATTTTGCTGCTTATAGTGTTTTTGTTAATTTATGCTGGTGATGTTGAACGTATTGCATGGACATTTTTGCTTGCTGTAGTCAGCTGTACGCAACGGCACACATTGCATAGCTCGTCCAATCATCCCTTCTACGTCATTTTTTCAGTGTTACTCTTTAACGGCCCTTTCAACGACTTTTTGAGGCCTTTTATTCCTTTGGGGACACCAATTCCCCTGCTTTTTTCATCTCCATCATACTATTCTCCACATTCTCTTTCATTTATGTCATAATCTGAATAACCTAAAATTATCTTGAACTGTGCCTTTCAGAGTTGTATGTGTTTGTTCGGTAAAGACGACGCCAATCCTTTTTCTCCGATACTTAGGCTTGCTGTCCTGCCTGTTGTAGAAAACAACTAAAAATAGGATCCACTCATATTGTAAATTTAGGCAGATGTGGCCCAGTTCTATCGCATATGTGAGCAGAGGAAATTTGTCAGCAGTGAAAACACATGAAACAACGAGAGTGCTGGATCTCATTAGAAATTAGTTTGAATTCATATTGATATTACAAATCTTGCGAACAATGAATTTCAATGATTGATTACTATTAGAGGCATTAGATATGGGAAGCATATTTACATTCTATAAAGTTTATATCTAAATCGGTTGCGCACGCTTTACGGTGAATCTAAGCAATTATTGTTGTTCTTCCGAGTAAGCTGTAACTTCGTGAATCTGGAAGAGCGCAGTTGAATTTTTCTTGCTTGTAAATCACTCATTATCTTTAGGGAGTTCTGCAATGGTTTCGAGGCAATTACCGTAATCTCACAGTGTTCATGCAAATCTCTTCTTAAAAGAGCTCGATCGGATGCGGCGATCACGGTGGCCATTTGGTTAAAAAACCCTTACCCGACACCATTCCCAGAATTAAGGCAGTTTCCAGCTATTGATGTGGGAACTTACAGTTTGCTTCTTTTCGAAAAGTTATCTATGACAAGCTACATGCTTACTACTTAAGAAGTTGAGTAGGTATTGCACATAATAGAGCATGTGGTTCTAGTATCGATGTTCCGCCTTCTACACATCGCGTTGTTGTCGAGCGTAATCCGATCGAAAAGTAAGTTCGGTCGAATGAAGGCATCTGTAGCAATACAGCTCCGTTGTTGGATCCGGTAGGTGAATGCATAATTGTTGCGGATTTTTTCGCGGCTTCTTTTCTCTCGGTATGACTCGAATATTGAGCTCGGGGCTCTTGCTTTCCTTAACAAGAACATATATAGAAAGTCACCTTCATATTCGCCACATTATGGTTTACTACTTCGAGAAAGGTTTGGAAGGCGGCACACTCATAACGTGATCTCAACGAACTTCTCGGCAATAGAACAGTCAGCTAAAGCAGGATAAGAAGTGGAATCTGCTTCTATGGTCGCCCTATTCACCAACAGAGAGTACTATGAATTATCACGTCAATCGTCCGTTGAAAAATCGGCTAACGAATAGAACTTTTGACGAAATGGATGACTTGATGACGGACGTCAAGGCGTGGATCACCCCGAAGAATAGAAAATTATTCGTTTGTGAAATCCGACTGCCTAGCAAATGGGAAGCAGTGCTTGATGGTAGATATACTTCAAGTAAAATTAGCTGAGAAAAATCCGCAACAATTATGCATCTACCTAATATTCTTGAAAACTTTCTTTCTACTCAGTATTCTTTTGCCAAGTCTTGAAGTGTTCATGAGATTCCCATGGTCCATGAATTATCCAAAATTAGCTAGCATCCGTACAGAGACCTCCTGATTGCTCCGATGAAGAAAGGGATATGTTCGTCTGACGATATCACCAAATTATTATATTGTAGTAGGTGATAACACAAAAGCGGATGATGTGAGTGGTCACGCTGCCATCAAAGAATTCAGAAGTTAAGAAGTTTAGAAATGGATGATGGGGACAGAAGCCTAGGCGTCAGAAACGAAGAGGACTATAAGTTCCTCGAATTCGATACAGCACACGATCTGGCAACCTACTGCAACCTTTCTTGGTAAAATGATACATTAAGAAGGTTCTAACGGAAATGCGATGAGGTAAATAGAAAATGGTTAAGTACTCGTGAAAAAGATGCGCTCTAAAAAAGGTACTGCTCAGCTAAGGATTGGCTTCACTAATCTTCAGAAACTGTTCATGCAAACGTTGGTTTTCTCTGCTTGAACTCGGACGAGGTTGATAAAAATCCTTTATTCCGCTTACGTTTCGGCGTGGATCGCCTTCTTCAGAGCCCGGAAAGATCGAAGCAATTTATGACTACCCGACCAAAGCCTCAACACCCTACGGAAATTCGACACCTCAGAGGTCATCACGCAATTGTAAGTTGGGCCACTTACCGTAGTGTTTATGCAAACTTGGAGCAGATGTTCCAGTAGATGCCACCCCACAATGTGCAAATGAAATGCTGGGTGAAACGCGGGTTGGTCTCAAAGAACAGGAGGAATCGTCGTTTTGGAACGTGCAGACGGCCGAGCACTTTAAAGGTTCAGATGAATGCCATTTGCATGTTCAGATGAGGGCCATTTGCATGAAGTGGAGTGAGTACATTGCATTGGTATTTAGTGCGAGTGACGGCGCTTGAAGGGAATTTACACCCTTTATTCATTCACTCTATTTCGTAGAAAGTTTCGTAGATGTTGAGATTAGGCCTGATGCCACTTTAGGTATTCGCAGGTTTGCAGGATATTCGTCGACGAGGTATTCGAGGAGTTCAGTAGGCACTAGAAACGTCGTTCCTTCTTGCAAACAGGTTTACAGGTTGACAGCTTAGAAATTTGGTCAAGTCCCGAATCGTCAATTTGGTCGTGAAGGACAAGGAGGGGGAGTTTGATTTCTCGTCAGCCCAGGACGTCACCTTGACTATCATCCTTTACCGACTGTCTTCAGTGAGAGAGTCCCAGTATCAGTTTGGAGGCTGGATCAAGAACGGGCGGGGTTCGTGATATCATCAGGTCGCGACTCTTGTATAATTGAACAATTCAGAATAGAGCTACCAAGCTGCCCCGTACTTTACCTTTTCAACATAAGCCGTCGTTCTCCATTTCTGACGCTTCATAAATATGAAGGAGGGCTGTAGGAGCCTATATGATGCGTGGAAGGGTTTTGCAAGCGCTTAAAACACTTTATATAAAACAAGTAAAACAGGGGCAAGGACAAGTAAACAAATGGTTCGAGGAACCGAAGATCCGTAGCACGCGTAACAGTCCGCCGTCCTCCCAACTGCGCCGTTCCTGCACGTTTAGAACTGCTTGGTTCTCGTGCAGAAACAACAAAATGACATGACACCTGGGGAACCTGGGCCCGCAACTTTGTAACCAGAAGCATTTCGCAGATTTAGAACCTAGATTTGAAGTCTATGTCGGTATAGATCTCATCTTGTATGGTCGCTGCGACCTGGTATCTTTTCCTTGTTAGCTAAGAAACTGTAGGTCCGTGGTATAATACGAAGTAACACCTAGCGTGGTAATTCCTCGATATACCTACATTGTAATAGCTGCCCTCCCCCCACTAACTACCCAATTACGTTTTCACCAATTCCATATTATTTATTTATTTATTTATTTATGCGTAGTGAACGCGCTACACCATGACAGTAATAAGCTGGAGAGGTTGACCTAGTAAGGTGATTTAAGAATTAAGAAACAACAAAGAAACAACAAAGGAAAGTTGCAAATAGAAATCCAATAATGAGTAAATCATGACTAAACGACGCCTGAAAAAAAAGGAATGAATCTATGCTGAGTAGGTCGAGAAGATGAAATAGAGTGCCACAAAAGTCGCAAATTTGCCAATCAGGTGGACCGGTGACTGCTTCAAAACAGTGTAGCAC